CATACTGGCTGACCCACTGGCCCTACTGGCCCAACCGTCCGCAGAGAACTAGGGTGTAGAATTTTTAGATGGTTTGGGCGCGAAGCGATCCAGGATTTGATCCACGAACCGTGCTCCTGGTAAGCGTGTCACTTTCCACTACACCCTCTCTACCGCCCATGACTATTAAGGATTAAATTCTAGTTCGGCTGCCATGCATGCGAGAAATCGGTCCATAGTAAAGAACTTCCACACCTTTAAGGGCATTAAATTCCAGACATGAGAATGGGACTGTACGAATCTTGGTCTGCTGGCCATTCTATAATGGAGCTCCTGTTTGTGATTGATACAAGGAACGAATTTTCAGGATTCGCGGATGAGGTATGTTGATTCATTCGCGGTTCTTTTTTAAGTTTTTATAAATCCCAATCTTCCTGAAGTAATGGTAAACAACAGTGTGAAACTCCAGAATTTGTTCTCAAAGTTCAGAAGGCTTAAATGTCCCGAAAATTTCAACGATAAAGAATTCTTCATGCTCTGCTGTCCTAACTTAATGCCAAAAGCAACATTCTAGGTGCCTGTAATATGGGAGTTTGTCAGTTTAGTCAGATGAGATAGCACTAATTTTGATCCAACCCTATCCGCTTAATCCGTAACTTAGCCACTAAATTTACCCTCGCAACACTCCATTTGACCGACCTTAAAATAAACAAACACAAGCAGAAGCATCTCAGAAAAAGAACTACGCCTCCAGCATTTTGAAGCCAGTGCGAGATTTTTCTCATCAATACGTGCAAAATGCATTGGCAAGGCATCCCTCTCACACAAAATTTCAAGTCAGGATGAAGTCGGTGTTCTTGCGCTAACGCTACATGGGGTAGATGCGTTGTAACATTTCAGGCACTTTCCAATTTTCAGGGAGCTGAAACGCCTGATAGAGCGACTGGTGACTGTGAGACGGACTCTTCTGATGATGATTATCAGATTACGAGCGAATGGCCCCCTTTCAAAAAGGTATGTGAGCACGTATCCGTTGGATAAATTCCACTTCCGGTATTACCACTAGTAATTACTTCAGGTTGGCGATTATGACCCCTTTTGTGACGATGCAAGCCTGTCAGTCCAAAGAATAGCGTTTGACGAAAAATCTGGCCATTTAGTTGTAGGATGTAGAGGTGGCCATGTACTTGTTTACTCACTTGAGGAAGACGAAAAGGTTTGACATTCTTCTCTCCTTAGGGCTGCGTTCATACTTTGCGTCAGCGTTTTGGCGTACGTCAGCGTATGCCAGCGTACGGCGGCGTTTCGAGCGACTAGGAAAGTATAGATATCGATCTAACGTCTTGAGTCTTTAGCGTTTCGCGGGTAGTTTCAAACTTTCGCGGGCACTGGCTGGAAATGCTGGCATCCGCTCGAAACGCTCAAAAAGCTGCCGTACGCTCGAAACGCTGACGCAGAATATGAGCGCAGCCTAAGCGGCGTTGATTTAAGAGTGAAGTTTCGCATAAACGTCAACTTTTGTGTCGTCTTTCAGGAGTTGACTCCTCAGGTGTTGAATGTAGAATTATATGAAGCTTCAAAGTTACCTGCACAAGCACGAAATAGTGGAGCGCTACCTCCTCGGAATAAACCTAAGAAATATCTGCCAGGATATCAGCCGTACTCTTTGTCTGTTCAAAACAAAAGGTTTTGTCCTTTTTTTTCTGCAGTCAGGGTGAAAACCATACTCATACGGGAGTTTTCAGTGCATTGGTGCAACTTCGTCCAGCACTTGCTGTATCAGCTGTGGCTTGTATATCTTCTCGACATTTAGTCGCAGCATCCAATGAATACGGCTTTGCCATCATAGATATGAATAAGCAGGCTATAATCCTTCAGAACAGCTTTGTAAACCAGTCAGGTTCGTCCACTATTGTCTCGGCTTACGACCAATTCATGTGAAAATTGACTAAAGGCGCAGTCCGCGGTCATCGTATAGGCGGGGTGAGGTCTGCTGCTCTCTCCTCATCATTTGTGCACTCCTTCTTTCGCGTCATATTGTGAAATTTACACGTAATTGATTACGAGCACCAAATCAGGAATGTAACATTAGATCATGTAGTCTTGACCGCCATTTCAGTGATGATCTCGGAGATTGCTTTTAGAAGCGCTAAAGACAAATTGTGCGATTATCATGAGATGGGTCCATTTCTTGTGAGAGGTGAGCAGGTCTACAGCTGTAAAACTGTGGCACTTTAGACACTCGGATGTGCGCACAGACTTAGTAATTTTCGAGGACAGTCTTTTTTATGTACCGGTTTCATGCTGCTGCAATAGAGTTGTAGAGAGTAGTGGCGCTGCAGTCAACTGGGCCACTGTGATGCGTATTGCTGGCCGTGCGACGTGTTGCGTGTCCCGCAGGGGGCGTGTCGACGACATACTCGTAACCTATGAACCACTTGTTGCGTATCAAATGGCGGCCGGCGGCATGAGGAACATTCCGATATCCGAGCCCCCAGCTTCATTTCCCAGAACTTTATTGGCGAAAGTGCTATTATTCGACAGCTACGGCCCAGTTTACCTCGCACATGGCACGGATCCACCCCGAAGGTGAACACGTTTTGAGTGGTATTTACTCCCATAGAAATGTCGGTATTGTTGGAGTAACACTGTGGAAATCATTATGACCCTTTATCCTTTATGATGCAGATATCCATCACGTTGGTGCCTTCGACGATGCTTTATCGCGTTTCAAAAGTATGAAGAAGTCTATTCGACAGACGTTCCGGAGGAAGAAGAAGACGCCTGTAACTTCACTGGATAACACAATTGTAAGCCTATCTTGAGAAATTTTTGAGAAGTTTTCGTTGCGTTTAGTGATTTTTTAAATTCACAGGGTACAGTGAATAGTGAATCATCTGCGAAAGAAACATCTGCTCACAATATCTCAAAAGTGTTCAGCGATAATGAGGATGATGAAGTGATGGTGACAAAACCTGTAGAACGTCTCATTGAGGAGCGGGGAGCATGTCCGTGTACGTTCATATTTCCTTTTCTTTTACACATTCCTTCATTTGTCTGGGCTAAGGGCGGAAAGAAGATTGCTAGTTTATAACCTGAAATCAGTTTTTAAACCTAAACTCTGCTTCTACCATATCCATGCGCATGTCGCTCGCCTCCCTATGGTTTTCGCTAGACATCTCTGTTGGACTGCGTTCATACTTTGCCTCAGCGTACGGCAGGTTTTGGGCGTACGCCAGCGCCAGTGACTAGGGAAGTATAGATATTGAACTAGTGAACCCCAGCGCACGTCAGCGCCTTCGAGCTTTTGACGCAGAAGTATAGACAGTGCGAACTAGCGAACCCCAGCGCTTGCCAGCGTACGTCAGCGTTCGAGGGTAATTTCAGCTTCAAAACAGCCCTCAAAAACGCTGGCGTACTCTAGATGGATACCCATGCTTTTCTAGTTGCTGGTGCTGGCGTACGCTCGCGCATGTCGGGTGCGCGGAAAATCGGTAATGATGCAGCCTCGTTAATCCTATCTAGCCGTCGGCTCTGGACGTTCGCTAATGGTATTCTCGTTTGGAAGGGCCTCTTGGCGGCACCCCGCAAGTGTTCGCTGTAAAGGGTCGAATTTCGTGAATGTTGTGGTAATTTGTAAAACTGGATCAATCTTGGTCCTGTGTAATAGGGTTACCCACCCCCCCAGCTAGTTTATTTTATCTGTTACACGATCTTACGATGTTGATGGCGACGTTTTAATTTTTATTATTTCAGTGGAATCTCCTACTTGGTTCATTCGATGCCTCAAATTCCTCTCTATTCCGGCAATGGGTATAGCAGGCGTACGTGTTTCCTTTTGATTCGCTTTCCCGATTTCCAAATCATTAACCGGTTTTCACTGCTTCTTATTACTTTTGTAGCCTTATTTGAGTTTTTTCTACCTCGCAGGTATGTGACGTATTCGTGGTAGGAACGAATGGTGGGAAACTGGTGATATATACGGATTACAGACAGCCAGCGAGCTGAAAGATGTGTGTAAGTTGGTGAGTGAATGGTCTTGGATGGCTGCTCTTGAACTTACTGTAATTCTGGTAGTATTCTGGTAGTTGACATATGTCCCTCACTTACAGCTCAAAACTATAGCTCTGCGCCACGGAGCTCCCATCATTCATGTGGATGTCATACTAGAACCAGGAACAAGGGTAAGGGTCTTTTGAGGTCCGTCAGCTTTTATTTACAGTATCTTGAAAAGTGCTTCTTCAGCAGGCGTCCTCAGCTCGTCTGATAATTTTCACAGAAGAACAGATCAGAAGTTTTTATTTGCCAAGCCTCAAGCCTTCACGATACAAGGTAAAGCTAACAAGCGTCGAAGGACTACGAATTCGGAAAGCAGCTATTGTCACTCTCCATAATGCAAACGGTAAGAATGAAAAAAAGAGTACTACCCCGATTTGATAGGTAGGAGAAGAATTCTTAAGTACTGATCCTTGCAATATTTAGATCTCTCTAACTGTGAAAGTTTCGCAGCAATTGTGAATAATCATGGTGAAGTAGCCGTATATTCACTCGCGAATCCTAAGAAGACGGAGAAATTTTCTGTTGTGAAGGTAAGAACGAAATTTATTTCGAACCGGAGCGACGATAGGGTCATTTTGAAATGTAGTGACTCGCGGTCGACTTGAGAGTGCGTTCTTACTTTGCGTCAGCTTCTTGAGCGTACGCCAGCGTTTTTAGCGACTAGCAAAATATAGGTGTCGATTCAGCTCTGTTAAGACTGCGTTCATACTTTGCGGCAGCGTCCACCATCGCATCCATTAGTTCCGAGCGTCCAGCAGCAACGTCAACTAGGAAAGTGCAAATATCGATCTAGGGTCTTCCTGCGTCGCCAGCGTCTTGAGGGCTAGGGAAGTATATATACCATTTTCACTTTAAATTCACCCTTTTTCAAACCAAATTCACCTTTTTCAAACCAAATTCACCCCTTTTCAAACCAAATTCACCCTCACTTTTCACATCAAATTAACCACACTTATAAGGGCGGGCATCATCAAGCAGATCACGCCAGACATCACTGCGAGCCCCGCCCCGACGACCACGCCCACTTGTAAGTACCTTGAACTCGGTACGCCCGATTATGTGCGTTCCAACAGGACATTTTTAAATTCACGCGCAA